TGAGCATCTATGTCTACTGTAGTCCAGGTCCCATGAATGCCAAGAATTCTTGACACTGCAGTGTTCCTAGTGCTCATGGTAGTACCTATATGTTTTAATAGGTGACAGTATTTGTTGAGAATGAATGAATGAATGAACATTGACTTTACAGAATGAGCCAAGGAAACACTACTCTTATCAATCATGGTGGGTTTGTTGTTATTGTTGTTGTTGATGTTGTTATTGTCCTTGAGATAACAAGACTATATTTTTCTTCTCTGTGTCTCATGTCATAAACAATACCCACCCTGAGGGTCCGTTCTAGACAATTTGTCTCACCCACACCCATTCTAAGACATCATCTTCCTCCCTGGTAATCTTACCTTTCACCTTGGTGAAAATTAATTCTTCTGATTAAGAATTAAGTTTTCTTCTGGGGGAGGGGGTAAAGCCGATCTTAATTCTTGTCACACGAATGAGCCTAAATCAGAGCAGTGCATCTCAGAGTTAATTGGCAAAAATTACTTGGGGTTACTTCCTAGGCTCCTCAGATACAGAATGGAAAGGGGAAAAAAGTTCCAAAGATAAACCAAAGTAAAGATTGCCTTCCCTCCTCTGGGGATGGCCTCAACTCGTGCAGGCAGAATGAGATATCCCCTGTGTGGTTCCAGATAGGGAGGAGAGGAGAGAAAAATCGCCCTCCTAACAGCCACGAGGTCTAGCCAGAGGAGAAAATTGGCTTTCATGTACAGATCCTTGCAGGTGCAATAGCAGCCTGGCTGGGGACTCCATGCCCACTAACTTGGTTAAGGAAGAATCCTGAAACTATTCCAACTTAGAAATAGGGAAACTGAGGCACAGAGGACTGAAGAACCAGCTCCAATGTCAATTGAGTGTGGGAAATAGCAAGATTGGTCCAAGGAGGAGGCAAAGTGAATCTTTTAGCCATAAAACCACAGGACACTAATATATATGGACTGGTCTTCATTGGGAGATTAATGTCCCCAGGCCTGGACACATGCCATAAAGACAGCCACCAAGAAAAAGAACGTTTAATCATACCAAATGTTTTACTGACACATTAATCCCAAATTATCTAAAGGGTGTATTATTATTTCTATCTGACATACCAGTTTCTCCTACTAAATCCTTCAGTCCTATTAACAGAATTCCTACTACTTGAGTCACACTGTCTGGAAATGTTCATATCTGTGTTCACCCTTGCTACCCTCTGCAACCCAGGTTAGCTGCCATGTCCCTATGGCCCCCAACTTTGACAAGAGACGCCATGTAGGCCGCCAGAGGAGTAAGAGGTGGATGTGACCTTTCCATTTCGAGCAGACCTGAGATCAACTTTTTTAACTCCGCCCTCGCCTCCTCTTACGACATAGGCCACACGCGGCTCTGCACTTGAACGTTTCGATAGACGTATATTCAGTCTTACATTGAAACTCTTGTTTCCCCCGTCTGATCACTCACCCCTGCCACCCATCCCTGGGGCAGAAGACTAAACTGTAATCCAGCTTTGTTATCAAATTAGCCATCTTGGAACCCTATTTTCACTTATCTCAATAGTCTGTCTCCGAAATACAAAGATTCCCCCCACCCACCCATGAACTTAACCCCCATCCTCTGCTAAAAGGCGGTCTGGAACTCCAAGGGGCGGGAAACCTGTCTACTGAATGTTTAACTCTCCTCCTCCACATCCAACAGCTACTCAGATAATCCCTAGAGACCCAATCCCCTCCTGAGCTTGCTTAGTGGTTTCACGGCTGTGGTACAATATCCTTAGAGCCAGGAGGCTGTGGGGTCTCCTGAGCCTCTCCTGACATTCATCAGGGCTCACGGCACCCAGAATTAGCTGGGGCTTCTAGAGCCATAATCTCTTGTAAACCAGGAGATGTTTTGTTTTGTTTTGTTTTGTTTTTGTCACCCGCACCTGTGACTTCTAATAACGATGTTTTTCTTGGCCGCCACTCTAACCTCCTTAATGTAATGTACATTTCCTCTTAAGAACTCCATCTACAGACAGTTGTCTTCACCCACAGTCATGTTAGTCTGTGCTTTCCTACAGGCTTCAGGGGCTGAGCCTCCAATGCCCACCCCCCCCCCCATCACCTGAACACTCTTCAGGTCAATGTCCAAACTTTGCCATCACTGAAATGGACACCTAACCATGGTTCTTTACAGAATCCAGTGGGTAATCAGTCCACCCAAAGCAAATGAGAGCCCACCCCCATCCTCCCCCCTCCCTATCCCCGGGAACTAGATGCGATCAGTAACCGACTAAGGACAGACGTTCTCATTTTAAAATTGCTTTGACTACCATTTGTTACCCATTCGGTCCTTCGGTGACTTTTCAGGCAACTGATCTCAAATGAATCAATGACTATAAATCAGTTTGCTTCGGTTCAAGTATCCCCTCTTTCCTATTCACTTGACCTCGGAAGTTTCTCCTGTATTTCAGTACTGTGTATTATGGTATTTACATATAACAGATGTACACTGACCCCTCACATTGAGCGTGGAGGTGTTGGCTGTATGTGATGTAAAAAGACTGTTTGAAATCCAGGCAACTCGATTCAGTGCTTCGTTTTGTAAATGATAGGGAAACTGAGTACTTAATTTCAAAGTAATGAAACACTAATCCCAAGCTTTCTCAAAACTACAGATTCAGCATATTATTGACCAAGCTGCTTTTGGAGCAAGGGATGGCTCTGTTAATTTTATTTTTCTTTTACCTTGCTGCTGGTAAGCAGTTATGCCTGCAAGGCAAGAGCCAGGTTTCCACAAACATTCTATGAAATTGGTTCCAGACTGGAGAATTTTCAAACGCTCCTTGTTTTTCACAAGTTACATTTCAAAAGAGAGAGCATTTGCATATTCAAGGTGAAAGCCCATGGAAAGGCGCCTCCTTGCCCAGTTTTGTAGAGCAATTATTTCTCCATTTCTGAACTGGCAACGGACGCCTCCACAATGTCAGCCCAGACACACAATAGACATAGGTATTAATTAGACACTCTAATTACCCGGGCTTGTTTAGACTAATCAAGTGACGCCAAAAAACAACCTCAATCTGTTGGTTGGATTTTCTGTGTACAACTTACAGTCAAACAGGAACTTGTTGTGACTAGTAAATTGCACAAACACAACTTGCAACTGAGAAAGCCCTTCTGTGTTCCCTGAATACAGGCCGGGGCTCACAAAGTTGGCTCAGACAGCCAAGTCCGTCTCCAAAGGTACTTAGAAGAAAGGCCTTTCTGTCTCCCGGTGGAAAATCAATACCGCATGCTGGAAGGGGAAGACGCAGAGTTAATGCCTCCTCTTCACACCACATGGGTGAGTAAACACCACTGCAGGCTTGGGCACTTGGGGTGGCGCAGCAGAAACCTACAGGCAGCAAGGCAGACCCAGCCTCGAGCCCTCCCCCCGGCTCAGGACAGAGCCCACCCCAGCGGCCAGGCTGAGCGGATGCTCTCAGCCCTGAAGCTGGCACCGCTAGCCCTGCGCCTGCCTCATCTAATTTGATTTCGCTGCAACTGCGGGTCTGTGTGCGCCTGCAAAATTGCGTAATTCGCCATCTCTCCAGCTGTTACCTGGCGAGGCTATTCTTTGCACACCGATTTGCCTGGCTGCTAATAAGCCCACTAAGCAGAGGTGGAGGGAAGTTTGCTCATCACTCTGTGTCCTCAGCGTCTCCTATCCTCAAGCTACCCAGCCCTCGCATGTTCAGAAACAATCACAGGCCGGTGAGTCCTTCTTCGTCTAGCCGGGAAAGGCCTCGTTTTTTATGGCCTGCTTGTCTAAACCGGCTATGCCTCCTACCGCCTACACCCACCTTCTGAAAGGCAGGCTTCCCGCCTTCCCGCTCTGCTGTCCCCTGGCTGTCCTGATGTTTTCCCTGAGCCCCGGTATTTCTGGCTCCTCTCTATGCGGAGGCTGATCTGAGTGGGGTTGAGGAGAGGTTCTAGATTCATTACCAAAACCAAAGCAGGCAGGCTCTGACAGCCCTTCTCAGCCCACTTCCTCAGGCTAGTATTTTTCTGTTACAAGTTAAGGTGTCCCTCTCAGATGTTCATTTGCTGGAAACCTCTGAAAGTGGGACTTGGAGAATAGAGCACCGTTTCCTTTGTTCTGCCACAGAGCTCCCCTGTATCCTGGAGGCAAGGGAAGGTCACACGATCGGAGCACACCACAGATAACAGAAAAGCTCCACCGTGGGAGAGAGCGCGCAGCAGCTGACAGGGCAGACTGGGGACCCAGCAGCCTCCTGGGTTGAAGTCACCATCAGCCCTTCCCCTGGGGTTCCCACCAAGCTCCCTGAGCTCAGCAGGAGCCACAGATGTTCCCACTGATCTTCTCAGCTATTAATCAGCCAGAGTGTAAAATAACTTCGGAGGTGTCATATGCCTAGATGCCAAACTTCAGAAGACATGTTGGGTTGCAGCATGGAAAGTAGGGGAAATATGGATCTGTTTCCCAGGGTTATGCCAGGCGTAGTTTTTAGCTTTTAGTTCTTTAATGCAAATGAATTATATGTGTCCCCTAGCTCACCCCAGTGCGTATGTGCGCGCGCGTGTGTGCACACACACACACACCACACGTCAAATTCTGTACGACCTAGCCACGCCCCCAGCCTGAATTCTCACCATTGGATGGATCAACCAAAGCCCCCGAGGGCTTCATGACTGTAAGAGAGTTAAGATGCTCATACAACACACAACATTCCTAGTTAATAAAGTTTACCCTAAACACCTTTCTCAAAGCATCAGACATTCACACTTTGCAGGGCTCCTTAAGCCTGAATTTTGATTATTTATGGCCAAATTCTGGAATAATCTGATATACAACTACTGTATCCCACAGAAGACCTTTCAATTATCATGAAAATAGGTTGACCAAGCTTTTGAGTAGAGCGAAGGCACACCCCTTTAGAGCTCTCCTTACAGGATCATTACACCCTACTTGGAGCTCTACTGTTTCTTAAGGCAAGAAACGCTGAGGGAGGAAGCACTCCCTCCCTCCCTCTCCTCACAGGTGGACAGAGGCATTTTAATATGTTTAATGCACGGTAACACTGAGTTTCCAATGCTTGGGGAGTCTTGAAAATGAAATGAGCTTATTTTTAAGATGATATTGTCTCCCCCTTTGGAAAAATTGTCACGTATAGCCCAAATGATCCCTTAGGTTTTCTGGAAAAGCTCCTTAGCGATTCAGCGTGTATTCACCAACCTGCACAAGGACTTTTTCAGGTGTGTGTAAATGTGCTTTCCTGTCATGGTAAAATGTCCCCCCAGCATCCACTAGGACCCATCTCCTTGTTCCACCCCATCTCCTGTTCTGTTTCCATGGCTTTGCCTGTTAGGGATAGTTCAGGGCTGTGTCTCCTGCCTCTGACTTCTCTCATGTAGCATCTGTAAACCCCGAGGCAGCAGCATTTCTGCAAATCACTTCAAGGGCCGGCTTTCATTTCCATCTCTGCCTTTCCTGGCCCACCATGCGCTGTCTACACTGCATTTTGTGTGAAATTGCCGAGCCAGATAGAGTTCCCACGGGCCTGGCTGATGGCGGCCCCAGACACTAGGTTTCAAGCAGATTCAAGGGTCAGAGCAGTTGAAAGGCACCCTCGAACTTTTCCAAGGTTTCCAGATTGGAAAATAAAGTGTGAGGAGCAAACTTGGGTGATAATGGACAGTTAGCAGAACTCTCCCTGATGGTGAATCAGTGGACTCGTCCTACTGGGGTTCTCCTCCGGATTCATTCCAAGATGAACATTTCCCTCGGACCGAAAGAGAGGGCCACGCTTATTCAATCAAGCAATCCCACTTGCATACAGCACCCACGTTGCATTTTCCTTTTGTTAACAGAAACAGCTAGACAAGAGCACACACTGAGGTGCCGTGTGGTGTACCCGAAACAGCACCAGACTCCAAATGAGAAGACACTACCACTGCTTACTTGCTAGCAACCATGACCACAGGCAAGGGATTAGATAACCCAAGCCTGCGATTCAAAAAGGGAGCTTGTTCTGAATGTCAGCTCACATTCCCAAGTTGCTGCCAAGACTGAAGCCAGGAAGATGTCCAATAAAGAGGAAGTTCGTTGCATGAAATTCTCTGTGAGCTGAACCGGTAGTCCCCAAATACTCGCTAACGCGTTAGCATCACGTTGTGGACCTTATTGGGTCTACTTAATCTCGTGTGCCCAAACTTGAGCTCTCCGTAGGGTGGCATTTAGAGACAGGGTCTACAAGGGGATCATAAGGGCGAAGTTAAACCTTAAGGGAGGTGCTAAACCCATAGGTCTGACGTCCACAAAAGGAAGGGAAAAGATACCAGACACCCCTCTATTTATGCACGTTGCAAAGCCAGAAAGAGTGGCCCCACCAGGAACCGAACCTGCCAGGAATTTGAACTTGTACTTCTAACTACCAATTCAGCGAGGAACTAGAATTCTGCTGTGGAATTTTGTTTGGCAGCCTTAGCAAACTAACAAACAGATTGAAAGTAAGAACTTTTCCATGATTTGTCCTTCTAGTCCTAATACATTACTCAAGACACAGCAGACGCTTGTAGGATATTGATGAAATGATCTATGAAAAATAATGGTATTATCAGTGAATTACTATATATGATAAACCCTACAATATGTGTATCACTTCCATACAACTACCTAGATCATGCCACACCTTGTTACCCGGTTATGATAAGGGAATGCTATATCTCATTTTTCTTTCTTTTAAATGGTATTACATTTAGAGAGAAACAAAGAAAATTGGTCTACTAGTGTGAAAGATAAGAAAGAAAATGGAACTTCAATTTACATTTCACATGTTATTATCATTGTAATTGTAATGTTATTGTAAGCCTAAGAAAATGTCTCTGCTATCTTTCCATGAGCCCATCACTCAAGGGTACAAGAAACATTACAAGCATTGTGATGTCAAGTCTAGAAGTTCCTCCTAGGTTCAAAGCTTCCCTCCTTCCCTGTCCACCCTCTCTGCTCTCCTCTCCATCCTTAACTTCCTCAGTAATTTATAGTGTTTCTTCTTAAATCACCTCTGTAAAGTATACACATCAGGACTTCACAGAATTTCCTGAGTTGGATTATGTATTTAAGTTTCTAAGTTATTTCCCCACACCATCTCAAAGACATTATTAAACCTTAAAAACACTCTAACACTCACCTCCCTCAAATGTCTTCTAGGGTGGTGTACTTAAGTCAAAGTCCATTTGCAGGCGCTGCTCTGTGCTAGGGGCAGAAACTCCAGTTTGGTGACTTCACGGCATTGGCGGGTGCTGATGGGTAGCATTCACTCAGGTCCTTTAGTGTTCATGGTAGTTCCCCCAAACTTTGAAGATTTGACCTTTGAAGGGCAAGGTGTATCCTGCTCATATTTTTATCGCTAGGACTAAGTCAGTGTCTGTCAGGTGGAGGGGTCTGATAAAAATCTGGAGCGTGAATGATGCTCACTGAGCGTCCACTGAGGGCCTGGATCTACTGAGTTTTCCTAGCAGAAGCGCGAAGGCTGCTCTTGGTTGTCAGCTTGACCACGTCTGCAATCAGCTAAAACCCAAGCCACTGGGAAGACTGTGGCTTGGTGAGAACTCCCACCCTTAATTGGTTATTTAAGGTCAGACGTCCACCCTAAACCTGAGTCACACCTTTCTGGTGGCAGCCTACAGAAAAGGACACGGAAGAAGGAAGCTTTTGCTTTTTGCCTGCTTGCTCTCACTCTTGCTGGCAAGTTCACCTGTCCTGTTGATGAAGCTTTCCTTTGCTGGCATGAGGACCTACTTCTTCAGGATTCCAACGCAGCAATGAAGACTAGCGGAGACATCCGGCCTTGTGGGTGGATTGAAGCAACTATCAGCTTCCTGGCACTTTTTTCAGAAGGCAACCATTGTTGGACTTACCAGAACCACAGTAGGTAAGCAACTCTGATGAATCCAACTTTAATGTGTAGGGATTCATTCTATCAGTTCTGTTCTATCAGAGAACCCTGACTAATACATCAGTTAATTTTTTTTGTATAGACTAAAATGCAGATTTAAGTCCCATTATTCAAGCGCCATTTCAGAAATATTGATGAATACATATCAGTGGATACTATTATCATTTATTATTATTATTGCTATTTCAGGGTAGCGGATGGTATTTTATTTTGAGAAGGGAACTAGAATTTCGGGTCAGTGACAAGACAATCAATCACTGAGTAGCTTTCTGTTATCTAGAATGTTCAGGGTCTCCTTGCTAGACAGTCTGCCTGGCTCTCTCGGCCTTGTCCTCTCCAGAACTTTCCCAGCTTGAATTTTAGGTTCCATCAAAGCTCAACAATTCACACACCCTGACATCTCCCCATGTCCACACTAGGAGTTCTCTCCTTGCCTTCCACCAGCCTCTCCTCTCGCCCTCTAGAAATGGTCAACCTACTCTTCTCACACATTCCTCCTTTACTCGTCTACTACCTGTGCATGAGTGAACACTCAATGCAGGAGCTGATCTCGACAGTGCAGGCATCAATCCCAGTACTCAGGAGGCTGAAGTAGGTGGATCGGGAATTCAAGGCTAGTCCATCCCTGCATAATGAGAACCAGGGAGGGAGGGAGGGAGAGAGGGAGGGAGGAAAAACAGGCTAGGGAAAGGAAACCACATACCCAGTTCAGGCTCTTTCCAACAGGAAGACTTCCGTGATACCTGTGAACTTTGTTCGTGCCTCCCTTTAGATGGCCAGGGCATCAGGGTTCAATACATAGCACATTGTGCTTTAGCGATTTGTCAATAGTCTGATCTTACCATCCCTGAACCAGGCATGAGCCTCTCTGGGGTAAGGATTGTTTAACTTGTGACTCACTTCCCCTAAGGTAGAGCCAAGGTCTATCAATGAGAGGCTTCAAAAATTCTTTGACAGAATTCCTAGATTAAATGGGAATTAAGCTCATTGATAGTTTTGAAATTTTTAAGGAAGAAATATCAAGTTGTTTGGATCTATTCTAGGCAGATACTGTCAGATGCTCTTCATGTAATGTCAGAGCTGGAAGTAAATATGGAGGATCTTTCTTTTTTTTGTGGCAGAAGACATCAAAGCCAAGAGCACAACAGGGTATGAACAACCCAACGAGAGACGGGCAGCTTGCATGATGCGATCATTCTAGAGGTGCTTGTCTGCTTGTTGTTTGTTTGACACAAGGGACTATCTAGGAAGGTACAGTGTGGTCTACACAAAAACAGATGGTTCCATGAAACTAGAAACAGCTAATGATTGCTCCAGGTCTATCTAGGACAGCATACACCACTCGGTTATCCCAGAACTTAACAGTGTTAGAATTCGAAATCCCACGTCCCAAGACATCCTATACTTCCTCTGTTTCTGAAAATTGGGTGACAGTTGATTCCCTAGAGCTGGGAAGGAAGGCAGACAATCAATGGTTCTTAAAACGGAAAAGAAAAACAAGTGGTCTCCTTGAAAGGAAGCAGCAACTTGCAGGGAAGGTCACATTTTATACAAAGTGACTATTGCAGAGTTTTCTCGTCCCGTCAGGTCCAGCAGCCCTTCTCAGACCCAAATAAGTACCCAAAGGCTTATTCTAATTATAAACGTGTTGGCCGATAACTAGGGCTTCTTGCTGGTTAGCTCCGTCTTAATTATTAACCCACTTCTATTAATCTATGTTTTCACGTGGTCTTGACTTACTGGAGAGTGCCCAGACCTTCTACTTCTTTGTCATCTACATGGCAACTGTCCTTGGTGGCTCTCTCTGCCTAACTTTCCCAGAATTCTCCATGTCCTAGTCTGGCCTATCTTCCTGTCTCATTGGCCAGATGGTGTTCTATTCGTCAACCAATAAGAGAAACACATATACAGAAGGACATCCCCCATCAAGTGACCAACAGGGAGAGAATTGGGGGAGTAGAACCTCTGACTTCATCCTCCTCCGTCAACCCTAGCTGAGGCTCGTCATCGAGGTCCCTGTGAGCCAAAGACGCTATCAATCAAGGTTCCCAGAGGACCAAGAATGGTAGATGGTGTGCTCATACAGGCAAGCAAAATACCCAAGCCCACCTACAGACACAAAACTGAGACCTCCCACTCTGTCCAGTCTAGACTTCACAAACCCTATTCCAATAAAGAAGACAGATTTTCCCTAAATTCTCAAACAGTACTATACTTTTCAAACATCTCCACCAAAGAGAGTCTGGGACAAAGGCTATACTCACCTGTTTCTTAACCTTCTTATCACCTGGTCAACCTATGGACAATACCTTTATAGTGTAGGAGTCCAAATGTACAATGTAGTGCTTCCCTCAAACACTACCAAAGAATTCCACTCACGAAAGAAAAGCATTTTGCATGTGTGTATTTAAGATCCCATTAGACGTCTGGGCAGAGACTAAGGAAGGCTCGAATAGCAGAGAACCTCAAACTGAGCACATTCATCTTTATGCTCAGCTCATACACTATCATGCTGTGACTGTGAAATGCCCCCTACAGGTTTGCATTCTGAGTGTGTGGCCCAAAGCCGGAGGCGTTATTTGGAAGGTTCTGGACCCTAGAAGGTGGGCCTAGCTAGTATGTCACTAAAAGCAGGTGTTTGAAGTTTGTACTGACCCTCCGATTCCTGCCTTGAGGTCTGCTCCCTAGTCTGCGTGATGTGAAGAGTCTCTGCATGTATTCCCACTGCCATGAAACGAGTCTTCTCCCCTGTGATGGGCCGGGCTCTCTGAAAACATGAGACCAAATAAGTTCTTCCTCGCCTAAGTTGTTTCTTTCAGCTTCCGGGGCCACGGTTACACAACTAGTCAGTGTAGCAGCCCTCAGCATGTCCCCACGGGACACTTAGTGGGCTCTGCATGCCCCGCAGTCCCCTGACTCACTCCAGGACTTCACAGCCCAATGCCCTCTCCCCCCTCTCCCCCTTCTCCCTTCCCTCATACAAGCAGCACCTCTTGCTGTGGGCTGAGCCCTTTCCCCTCTCTCTCCAACTCTCCACTGCGACAGTCAGTCCCAACCCCTGGAGAATTTTGTCCCCTGGAACACTGCCTCCCTGTGATGGGGTTGGTTCCTGTTCCGCGTGAGAAGGCTGTTTGCTGACTTCAGTGAAATCACTTAAGAGGATTGCTAATCAACTTGCCTAAGAGTCCACGTTCCCTGGTCCTCTTGTCTCACAGCATTCAATTCGTCCTCCGAACATGACACAGAGCATCACCCTGGCAGAGTTAGCGCATTTGAGCATCTTGTCATCACGCTCGCGAGTGGCAGAGCCGTGGCATAACTGAGCTCATCTTTTTCCTTCAGAGGCAGATTCTGGCAGCTATGATCTTGACTCGACTTTAAAATTACATTGCAGTGAATCCTCCTTCGTACGCGGTGTCTGTGTAAAAGTAATTTTGATTCCCCTGTCCCAAAAGATGTTCTATCTTTAAGAGTTTACATTCAAAATAGCTAATGCATACCTAAGCCTTTTCCCAATTTTATATTTGCCTTTCATTTAAGCACAGTTGTGAACAAAAGGGCAAGTCCTTCTAAGCATGCTCAGGGTGCCTGGGGCGGCTTATTTCAAGCACCATTGGCTCCAATGTGGACAGGCAAAAGGAAGAGGGGGGAACTTGGCCCAGAGAGCTAGGCAGGAGATCCTTGTTCCTACTGTTTTCTTTTTTAGACAAAAAGAGAATAGCCTCTACAGTCTAACTCTAGGTGACACAGGGCATAAAGGAGACTCTAGAAAGGAAGGACTTGGGAACTTTGATATCACTGTTGAATTATTTATGTCATAAATTATAGGATTTCAGATATCCTGCTATTGTTTGCCTTAATACAGACTTGAGTGTTCTACAGCTGAGTATCTTATTCACGATCCCGATCTTACCCTCTCTCTTTTTTTTCTTTGATCCACTTTAAAGATGAATTATCCAACTGTGGTAACCCCAGGACTCAGGAGGCAGAGACACAACAGGACATCCGCAAGTTCTAGATTCAAAGACGATGTACACAGAAAGTTCTAGGCCTGCCAGAACTAGAGCAAGACTCCATCTCAAAACGAAGCCAACACATGGTAGTGAATTAAGCATCATTTGAATTTATGTCTCTTCAGATTCTGTTGTCCACTCCTCTTCCGTCCGTTTTCTGGGAAACTGCATTTCCGTAGTATTACAGACCACACACGCAGAGTTGAAGAGGCATAAAGGAAGGGGCTTCCTACAGGTCAGAAGCATGAGGCTTTAGTATGAAGCGTTGTGTGTGAGCTTGGACAACTGAGCTTCAGCTACTGTTGCGATACAATTAGCTGTGGGTTATAGAAATGCCACCCACAACACCTTCCTGGGAGGAAACAGTAAATAACCCACGGACAATTCACGTCTTCAATCGGGTATTCTCCTCTGACGGATCTGGAGTCTCTGTCATTCTTTTAAGCAAAGAGGTTTTTCCCTCACAGCCACAAAGTGGCTGCCACGGCCCCAACCATTTTGCATAGCTTTGATCATAGGTAGGAAACAGACAGGCAGTGAGGACAGATAAAGAGAAGACGGTTCTGAGGAAAAATCCTTCTGGAGCCCTCTGCCCCAACCTTGAACTAAGTCACATTCAAATATCCAGTTTCCAGAAAAGTTGGAAGAGGGAAGCCTTGCCAGACCCTGGAGTGGTGGGTAAACAGGAAAGAAGGTTGCTAGGCATGGGTGGGGTGCTGGCTGTCTCTGATAACTTTACCAAAGGAGACATCTCATAAGAAAATCCTCCAGAACTGCTCTGCCCAAACCTGTTTCAGAGCCTGGTGGATCTCTAAAGTAGAGGTGTGTGCCAAGGGCCGAGCTGGATGATACCTGATTTGGATTGTGACCGACAAAAACCTTTCTATAAGAAACAATGTAAAAAAGGAAAGCAGAATACGGGAACCGGGAGACAATTTGAACTTAAAGCTGCTGGGTGAAGGATGTCCTAGGCCTCCCATCTCCCAGAAAATCTAACTAATAAATCAAAACTAAAAGGGTGAGCAGAAAGTCTTCCACTAACTCGTTGCACGCCCAGAATGAAGAACAGAGTATCTTGATGGATTTAAATCAGAAAACAAATGGATAACAGTCTTTGGGATCTCTCATTTCTCGAGAACTCCCTGCCCTTCCAGAACCTACCCCGAGCCGCATTCCGTGAGCACAACCCCGCAAGCTGTGTAGCCTAAAACAGAATTAGTCACTGCAGAAACGAAGCTCCCGGCTTAACCATAAGCACCCAGTTGACTCACAGAGACACGCACCGTGAGAGAAATGTCACAGACTTGGCAGATAGAAATGTCTGCAAGAAAACATTCCAGTGGAATGTACTGAAACACAGAACCAAAGCAGCAAGCCAGGCTCCGCAAAGCAATCCCAGCACAGTCAGGGGCTGTTGGGGATATATACGATACTTAAAATAAAATCCCAAATGTGGGCCTCTTCACTCATGTGTATAAATGATGCATGTGGTGTTAAAGCTACTGTGCAAAGCAAATTCAGGTGAGACAGTTATTTCTGATCTGTTGGAGTTTATAAATGAATAAACTCTACCGATGAATACTAATCAGTTTGTCTACTTGCTTATCCTATTCAGGGATGAAGACGGTCAAATCTAATGTCTTGTAATCCCTCTGCAGGTTGACAGTTGGTGCACTTGCTGTCCATTCTGCTAATGCATGTAGAACCAGAGAGGCATCACCAATGTGTCCTTTGCTTTCTTCAGTGAAAGAAATTTGGTGGAATGTGTGAAGGAAAATTGAAGAAGAAAATAAAGCAACCCAGGAGAAAGCCAAGGAGAATCCCTAGCAAGAGTTTGGGGACAGAGCTGTAAATGCCATAGCATTTTACCCAGGAACCCCCAAGAGCCTTGATGTGGGGCGAATGTTATGCAGAACCCTCAGACACCCCGGGCTCTGACCCAATGTGAAACTGGTAACGGTCCATGCCCAACTTTAAGTAGAATGTTCTGAGCCAGGAATATTTTCCTCCTCGATGGACATTTGCCAGTTTCTGGAGTCATTTTTTTCATTGCTGCCCTGAGGGGGTGGGGGAGTCACTAGAAGCTCTCATAAAGTCGGGTGGTGGAGATAACTCTAAGCACCGTGCCGAATATCTACCCGCAACACCAACAGCGAGAAGGCGTGCCCTAGATCACGAAAGAGGAAAGTTAAAGTTGAGACAGAGAAAGGGCTTCATTTGACTCACCGCCATCATCAGAACTCTCCAAGTTACCCTTAAAGTAATAATTGAACCCCCCACCCCAGTCCTTCAGCCATTCAGAAACACTGAGTCCACTGAGGCGATCAGCCCCTTCTAAGAGTAAAGATAAGCCTAGCAGTTTCTTGCAGGGTAAGTCCTGAGTGCATTTGCTCCAATTAGAGCACTTCCCTGGAGAATCGGGCCTGAGCCCCATGAGTTGGAAGCAAAGGGCACTCAAACATTCTTTGAAGAGGAGGGTTTTTCTCCAGCTTAATATCAGGATGTGTCCCTGAATCTTGGGGTGGAATGGAGAACTGTTACTGGGAAATGAAAGGATTAGAAGTCAATGTGTTAGAAACATGATGAGTAGCCGGGCGGTGGTGGCGCATGCCTTTAATCCCAGCACTCAGGAGGCAGAGGCAGGCAGATCTCTGTGAGTTCGAGGCCAGGCTGGACCGACAGCCTCCAAAACAATACAGAGAAACCCTGACTCATAAATACCAAAAAAAAACCAAAAAAACAAAAACAAAAACAGAAATATGATGAGTAACGCTGGTCCATTTTCAAACAAGGTGTGTAACAACTGGGGCAGATGTGTTTCCTACTCCACGGTTACCGCTGAGAATGGACACACAGTTCTGATGGGGGAGCCGGGACACCTGGTATCTGGAAGACATCATGTACGCAGAGGGCGAGAAGCAGCAAGAGGTGTCACTCTCCATCCAGGAGTTGAAGAAAAGAGACCAAGGAAGGAGAAGGCAGAGACTCCCGCTGCCCAGAGATAGTCGTCAGGAGCTGAGAGCAAAGAGTGCTACAGTTGGCTTGACGTCAGTCTGGTTTCTGTTGACTGGACTGGAGGGCAGGAGTCGAGCTGCTATAGTAGGGCTGAGCCAAAGAAAACAGTACCTCCTGGTTTCCTCCATTGTCCCTTACCCAACCCCCACCCTGTATGACTAGGGTGTTATTCTTGTAGACATCTCCCTGCATCTTCTGTGAGCTACCAGACCCAAAAGCCAGGGGTGGGAAGGAGAAACGAGTCTCTCTCTGGCTCCTTCTCCACTCTGCCAGACACTCCATATTGTCACTGTCCCCGAACAAGTCTAAGAGATGACGAATGGCCAGGCGTTGGTGGCACATGCCTTTAATCCCAGCACTCGGGAGGCAGAGGCAGGCGGATCTCTGTGAGTTCAAGACCAGCCTGGCCTGCAGAGCGAGTTCCAGGACAGCCTCCAAAGCTACACAGAGAAACCCTGTCTCAAAAAAGAAAAAAAAAAAAAGAGATGACAAATGTGCTTTATGGTCATGAATCTACTTTGCAGCTTATTTTCAGTGCTTTGCCTCCTTTTCAGACCTATCACTTCTTTGCAAGTTGTTGTCTAGAGCGCTTGTACCGTGCCTTTGCCTCAATATGTTCCCTCTGGGCATGTAAGACTCTCAGAGATAAGCCACTGCTGGATATAATACCCACCTTACCATGAGTGTAAGGTCTCTCTATCTATCTACCCCTCTACCTCTCTCTACCTCTCTCTCTCTACCTCTCTACCTCTCTCTATATATCTATCTACCTCTCTCTCTCTCTCTCTCTCTCTCTCTCTCTCCTCTCTCTCGTGTGTGTAGAGGTGTAGGTGTCTATGTAAGAGTTCAATGGGGTATTAAACACACTCAGTGAGACTAACCCTGAAACAAACATACTAAACCTAAAACCTAGTGGCCACTGCGTCTTGTGATGCAGACCTGTAATCCCCACCATTTAGTTGGCTGAGGCAAGGGGGATCTCAACTTCAAGCTCTGCCTGAACTCCAGAGTGAGTTCAAGACCAGCATGGACAATTTAGTGATATCCTTTCTCAACATAAAGGTTTAAAAAGTGGAGGCAGGTGCACTGAGGATGTGGCACCTCTCTCAAGAACCCAGGGCTCTAGGTTCGATCCCCAGTACTGCCAAATAAAATAAACATGACAAAATAGTCCATGCAATATCTTGCCTCATGGTAGTATAGTATTCCTGAATCTTTCCTTGTCCTCTGTTTATACTTTTCACCTCTCCAAGAGAGAGTCGCCGTAAACAACACGTCTGTACTTATCCAGAGTCTGAATGCTAGAGCCCCAATCCCAAAGTGGGATTCAAATGGAGGTGAGGGATTTGGAGAGTAATAAAGTCCTAAGTGTCCTGGCCATGCTGGCAACCTGATCTTCGGATTCTAGCCTCCAAACCCGAGACAAATAAGCATCTGGTGGTGAAGCCATCTGGTCTGTGACAGTGTTACACTGTCAGCACTCAAACCAGCTAGGACAGATGTGTCCTTCTGATCTGCTCACTGTGAACCTATTTCGTTTTGGACAACCTTACAGCTGCTCGATGTCATGAGAATCTATCGTCTTCCTCTTCCTAAAGTGTCCTCAAAGTGTCAGCTGCTCAGACTAAGCAAACTTGGTGCAGAGGCTCTGTAGAAGAAGACGGGCTGGGTGGCAGGCATCTTTAATGTTGACGTGGGCAGTCTTTGAAATCTAGTTCTGTGCAAGTCTCCTTGTCATTTGTCCCATGCTATTATCCCTTGAGCCTACTCCAAGTATGCTTTCGCTTCACATTTCGCCATAACTCCTCTCATCACAGGCTCTGAGTGGCTCCCCAGGGGGACACTGAGTGGACCAGTTCCAGCCCTGATTTATTTTATCTGTCAGCAGTATCTGATTCCACTCATCGCTGTCTCTGCAGACATGGCCTCTGCACTTCAGACATCACCACTCCCCAACTGCTCCACCTCAGTGATGTCTCCATGCCCGTTCTCGGGTCTTCCCCGTCAATCTGTCCTTTCAACTGGGAAGTTCCTGGAGGCTGGCCCCCCCACACCTCATCTCCCTCCATTTCAAGACAGACGACATAGTCTCAGGATTTGAATATCAGCCAGGCACATTGGTTCATGCTCGTAACGTCAGTACAAGAAGCTAAGGCAGGAGGATTGCCATGAGTTTGGTCAATCTGGGCTACTCTGATCTCCATTATTGAGTGAGATTCTGAATACATACACACACACATACACACACACACACACACACACACACACACACACACACACACTAGGTACCATTCTACATCGCCCATATTTTTTTTTCCTAGTCCTTACCTCTCCCCTGAAATACATGCTTATACTTTGCCATTGAAGTACATAATGGACATTTCACAGTTAAGAAGTTTACAACTCTAATCCTGGGCCAGAAAGATACCATCACAGCTTAAGTTACTTGGCCCCAAGCATGATGACCTGATTTTAATTTCTGAGTGCACATGGTAGAAGATAAGTGATTCCTACAAATTGTCCACAGATCATCACATGGGTATTGTGGGACACACACACAGACGAACACACACACACACACACACACACACACACACACACGGACACGGACACACAGGCACACACGCCAACCAATGTAATTTAAAAAATTAAAAGCAAAATAGAACTGAACTCTTATTTTGTTGTTGTTTTTGTTTTATTTTTGTTTTTGGAGACAGGGATCATCTGTGTATACCTGGCTGGCCTGGAACTCACAGACACCTTGCCTACCTCTGCTTCCTGTGTGCTGGGATTAAAATCCCAGCAAAACTGAACTCCAGATTATCCCTAAATACTAATTACAAAACCCTACCATCTGGGCCTGAAAATGGAGGAATCGTTTATCCGTCTCTCTTTCGCTCATTCCACACTCATGGCTCAGAAACACACCCGGAGTGAGCCGCCACTCCTTGCTCATCCCATCAAACACAGCCTGACCACACTTTCTACATCCTGACATTTCCCCCCTGGTTATTGCCATACGGACCACCCTAGAGTTGATTTCCAATGGATCCACCAGAGTTATTCCACAGCGCCCTAAATCAGATTGAGACTGCACCATGCCCCCTCCGCCAGCTCCCCCCACCCCACCCTGCTCCCATCCCTCCTCCACCCCCACCCTACTCCCATCCCTCCCCCACCCCCACCCTGCTCCCATCCCACTTCCTGTACAACTCTAGTTCTTGTTTTCTGGGGTCGCCTTCCTGACTTGTCTACCTGGCCCCGTATCTTCCTCCTCACTACAGACTCACTCTATTGCGGTCCCTCTGCTCCACTGCCTTTCCTGGAAACTTTCAAACACCCCTCCTCCTTTGTCTGAAAGGCTCAGGCCGCAAGCATCCCCTCCCGATGTTCTATTTGCAATTGCCACCCCCCTCCCTCTCCCCTCCCCCTCCCTCCTTCCCTCCTTCCCTCCCTCCCTCCCTCTGTCCGTCCATCCCTCCCTCCCTCCCTCCCTCCTCCTGACTGCGCCTTTGCCTTCTCTGAGTTGTTTTTCCCCAAAGTGATGCTTTGAAACTGACACTCTACTTACCTTTAATTGTTGCTTTGACTCTCTTCCTTTACTACAATGGAAAAAAGCCCTCCTTGATGGTGATTTCTTTTTTTTTTTCAATCTCGATTCTCACTAAGAATACGACGTACACTACACAAGATCCACTCAAAACTTACATGGTTGATGAATAGGCTATGAGAACACACAAACATCTCTTAGTCAGGTATAACAGATCTTGAAGAAACAGTTTATCTAAATAATAATAATAATAAAAATAAAAGAAAGCCCCTTTTCAACTTGACATACAGTTTTTCCATCTCAGGAAAGATGATATATGTATATGTATATGTACACACATGCACGTGTGCACACACACACTCACACACACACACACATCATTGTTTCACATAAAAACCCTGGTTATCCTTCCTTTGTTCCATACAATATCTAAGCACCTGTGGACACACAGAAAAGAAGGCTTGTTACTACACCTTTCCAAGGGAAATGTTGTCCTCCATGACCTCCACTTTTATAAAAAGCCTGGTACAAGTCCATTTAAATTGTTCCTTTTCCTTGGACAGCCCATATTCATCAGCACAGTGTTTTCTTCAATGTTCTCCAGCCTTCCAGTAAGCTAAAGAGCCATCGAATAAGAATTTACTTTAGTTTTGTCCAGAAAAAAGTATTCAAGGTACTGGGACAGCAGGAGAGTTTTGGATACATAATGGTTTGGTCACTGCTCTTGTAGAATTATGCATGCTAAATGTTAAGAGGCCTCTTGAGACCACACTTCTGTTCACAATGGTAATGCATGGGTCCTGGTGAGATGGAGTCCCAGTTCATTAATGTCTCTAGGTGGAGTTTGCTCATCTACAAACGCTAAACAGTGCTACTGTTGTGATCTCTGCCAGGACTAAATGTGGCCCCATCTCTAGACTGGGCCAGAAACTTATTTCCTTGAACCGAAGAGAAGAAATTTGAAGAACTCCGAGAAATAAGAGGCCAGACAAGGAAGTTTTCTCTCCTATCCCCTATCCAATTTTATCATCCAGAATCCAGATACTTCTCTCGTTTCCATTGCCCCCTGTCTCTGTGTCTCTGCAGAAGTTTTCATAAGGCTCTCCTACTCAGCTAGATCCAGGCATCTGAACTGGAAAGGCTCAGTTGGTCAGAAAGGAGAGCCCCAGGGAGACTCCCTGCAGCCCTCAGGCAGCATAGACATGCTTCTAAGAGGGAAATGGTCTTGCCCTTTAACAGGACTCCCAGTGGGAACAGTGGGCAGATGGAAACAGCCTAGCCTGACATCCTGTCCTGTTTCTCCCTTTTCATCTGGAGTGTGTGTTCTATCCTTTAACAGAAAGAAAAAAGTTTGAAAAAGAGTTTCTTAATTAAACTAGTATGGCTTTGGACTGAGCGATAGTCTGGAGACATTTCCAAACACTCCATGTTCTTTCCCCCATTTTAAATATGTTTGGTCTATTTCCGAGGTGGGGCACACTGAACTTTGGAATATCTTCCCCGAGAAGAGAAGCAAATCATTAAAGCTTATTTACTCTGCTTTCTACCAAAAAGAAAAAAAAAAAACGGTAAGGACAAGACGTGGGCTTGAAGGCAGGATGTGGGTGTTTAAAGCCCAAGGGGATTTTACAGTAGACTGAAAAAAAAAAAAAACCAGCTACAAGTTTCTTAGAAGTGCTATGTTGCTTCAGCAAAATTAACCTTGAAGTGTATACACATATCTTTACAACTTCTAAACACTATGTACCTTGTAAAGACATGCCTTTGCCTTTCTAGCCACTTTGGTTTTTTACCACCAGTCGCCTGGGCTCTGCCGCGTTGTAGTCCCCAAATAACACACGGGAGGCTATATTAATTATGAAGCTGTTGGCCTTGCTTTTTCTTACTGGCTAGCTCTGACTTAAGTATTTATCCCATAATTGTTAATCTAAGTATTTCTCTTACCAGAGAAGTTTCCGGGCTTCTTATCCATATGGAGGTTACATCTTGACTCTCTGTGTTTCTCCTACCCAGAGTTCTCCTCGACTCCTAGTCCCACTTATCTTGCTTCCCTATGGGCCAACAGTGCTTTATTGACATATACACAGGACTTCCCTCATCAGTACCTAAAAAGAAAAAGAAAAAACCCTGCTACATTGCTTGCATTTACATCCTAGTAAAATGAATATTGAAATAACTTCCAATAGCCCTGTTGCTCCCCTTGAATGGAAGTAAGCATGATAAGGTAGCCCACAACAGCAGAGTAAGTGGGGAAGATGTATTCTTTCTGCAAGCTGCCTCCAATGGAGCACACAAGACCATAGGGGCATGCCAGAAGAGGAGCAGGTGTGCATCCAGCCATGATGACATTTGTGAGCCACGGAAACGACCGAACGATGCTTAATCAGTAGATGAACAAGTTGATAAACCCCCATACATTCATACCCTGAAATCACCAAGAACGAGTTAGGTCTCTCTACAGACATTCTCTCCTATTCTACACATCCATACATCTCAAAGTATAAAATTACAGATATGTAGTTTATAATAAAGGCCATTTCATAGAAATACACAGGTACATGTGTCCTGACCCATGGGACATTCGATGTAGGTCTGGGGGACACCTAGAAGAGAGATGAAGGATAAGAGATACAAGAAAGGACAGCAAGACAAGATTCTGATCAAGCCCACAACCTTTATTTCATCCCAAAGGGATTTATAGAAGGGGAGTAAGGAGGGGAAGGAATGGGGGTTGTTGACTGCAGCTGTAAGGAAGCTGGCAGGGCCAAAAGTCAGTGGGAGGGGCAGGTCATCCTGTGTCCTCTGGTGACCTATCTTTCACAATCTGCCCTCTATTGTCCAAGTCTACCCCCTAGTGACTTGGTGGATTTACACTAGGCAGATAAGCCGCAAGCCTGTTTTCTGGGAACTTGCTTCCTATCTTATGAGGCAGTATTTCTGCAGTGTGGCCTGGAGTCAGGTCTTCCCTATGAGGACGTGATGATGCTGTAGCTGGATTATGGTGGAGGTCCCTGAGATACATGAAATGTCTGTACTACAGGAATTTCATTTGTACACACACCCATACTACAATATTGTTTTAGTCAACAAAGGACCATAATACACGAGCGATCTGATAAGACTTTAACATGGGAAGTAGGGATATGAATCATTCAGTAACCGCTGTACAAGTTCGGGACTTGAGTAGAATAGTCAGCACCCGGCTAAAAGGCTGAACTCGACAGCCTGTAATCCCAGAACTGGGGAGGTGGAGACAGGGGGATCTAGACAATCTATCCAGTCACTGAGTTCCAGGTTCAATGAGAGTCTCTGCCTCAAAAGAAAAAAAAAGAAAGAAAAGAAAGCAATTGAAGAAGACACTGACATTAACCTCTGGCTTCCACACGCATATGCACAAATGTATATGCACACTTGCACACACATGAGCGCACACATGCGCGCACGCGTGCGCGCGCACACACACACACACACACACACACACACACACACACTCACTTACATATCCTGGTGTTCAGTAAGGCATGCCATCTAGATTCATATAGGTATACAGTGTATGCATCTAAAAGAGCATGATTCAAGTAGCTCCTCACAAAACATTTGATGCAAGGAGGTTATGCACGTCTTGACTAGTATGAGGTGATGTGTTAGTTATGTTTGCATCACTGTCTATAGGAGGAGCTTTTATTCCCCCCCTCACCTGTCTACATCAGTCCCACTGGAAACATTTTCTCTCCACCCACCATGTTCTGCAGTCACTTAATGAAACCACCACTCTGAGACTCAATATCAGTTACAATTGTTTAGCCAATGGCTTAGGCTTCTTACTGGCTGGCTCTGTCTTAATTATCACCCATTACTATTAATCTGTATATCTCCATGCTGCCTTGACTTACGGGTGATGTCCGGGCCTCTTGCCTCCCCAACTGCTACCCAGCGTCTCTCTGACTCTGCCTACTACCTCTCTCTCTCTCTCTCTCTCTCTCTCTCTCTCACCGTCCCTCCGTCCCTCCCTCCCTCCCTCCTTCCCTCTCTCTCTCTCTCTCTCTGTTTGGATTTCCCACCTGGCTTTACTCTGTTAAGCCGTTAGCTGAAACAGCTTTATTCATTAACCAATAAGAGAAACATAGTCACAGCATACAGAAGGACATCCCCCGTCAACTGTGACTTCAAAAGAGGAAGGGCTTATTTGGGTCACGGTTACAGGGCTAATCCGTTGTGTCTGGGAGGGTGTGGCAGGGCTAGGCGGTTCACATTATGGTGGACCAGGAAGCAGAGAGCAGGAGGATTCCAGCATTCAGCTACCGTCAGACTTTTCCCTTTTATTTGCTTTGAGTCCCAAACTCATGAACGGCATCACACGTATTAAGAGAGGGCGTTTCCTCCTTACTTAATCCTCCCTGGAGAAAACCTCACAGCAACACCCAGAGTTGTACTTCAGTTATTGCAACTTTGATGAAATTCTGCGTCCAGGGAAGGAAGCTACCAAGATGATATACCAAAGACCACTGGTTGCCCTTCGGTGACCCTATCATCTTCCATAGCCACAAAGTGTTAGGACTATCACACATCTGCCCAAACAAAGACTGTAATGCGCAACCTCCTTCACAGAGGAGACGTGGACTTCACAGAGGAGACGTGGACAGTGGAGTGTCCAGATTAAGTATGTGTCACTCCAGGGGAGGAATTAGACGCCTGCCTGAGAGGAAGAGGAACAGGGAAATGACAACAATTTATTCTGCTTTTACTTTGTTCCAAGCCAAACCTATTGCTTGAACCATGTTTTCTTTCTGCCTTCATATTAACCTGGGGGGGGTGGGAGACATTATTTTCTCTGCTGTATAACCCAAGAAACTAACCTTGACTCTACAGACAGAGAATGGCAACGGTTCCCCTAGTGACTGTCCCCGCATTGCAGGATGTTGCTCTCGTCTCTCCCCACCCAAAAGTGTCCTTAGGGCATTTTCCTATTTTATAGATGTGTCTACTGCTGTCAGAGTTGTTCACTTCATGGGCAACCATACATACACACACACACACACACACACACACACACACACACACACACACACACACTAGTTCCTCAAAGCAAAAGATGCAGGATCGCAGTATCCATTTGCCTAGAGAGATTTTTCTGTTACTGAATCGAGGTTAATTCTAGAGGACAGGAGGGGCGAGTGTGACAGTTGGGACACGCGGGGAGGGGGTGAAATTCATTTCTGCTGG